ATCAACATTACAATGTAGGGCTTGTTCTTTCTTCCCAGTTCTATCATGATACCTCTTAGATTTTGTGTGATTAGTAATATCTTTGTAGAATTAAGTAAGAAAAAACTATGGGCAGTAGCTAGACAACAACAGATACACTGCAAACTGCCCTGTACTTCAGCCACAGTAGCTGTTTTGTATCCCATAACACACACAATTTGTCACTTTTACTTCCTTTCTCAACCTTTGTGCATTTTCATATGGCAAACCAAAACCCTAGCACACTGCTTTTGAGTGACAGAAATCCTTACTAACTCACCTTAGCTTGGCCTGGTCCTGTTGACCACTATACTAGGTGATAGCCTCCATTGCTTTCAGCTATTTCTGTAATATCAAAAGATCACTTTTTCCATCAACAAAGAAAAAGTGTGCTACGCCCCTGTATACTAATTAGGCCAGTGACTGACTGTCCTTTTTCAATACTAACAGGTCGCCACTAGGACTTTCCTTCATAACATTGTATTTCCCAATTACCAATAATAAAAATATCTGGTAGCAATTTATAATAGTCACCAAAACCATTTTATAGTCAAAAAAGAAAAACTGTCTTTTAGTGAGAGTTTGTATATCATGTTGGGCTGCAGAAAATGTAAATAAGAGATAAATATGTTCTCCTCGCAAAGCAGCAGGAAGAGATGTAATATAGTAGGACTGAACACAAGAATTTAAAAGTAGGTATAACCATTATGTAGCAAAAGTTTACCTTCAAAGACAGGTGTGCTCAGAAATAGGTTCACAGATTTTAATTCGGGACACATAGGCTAGGACTCCCTTCAGGCAGGCACATCACATTTCATATGGAAAGCAGAATACAAAGCAGAAACAAGGCTCAAAAAGAAAATATTTTATGCTCATACCCATTCATACCCAGGAAGTCAGAATTCAAGAGGTAAGCACTTATGTCTACTACAGAATATCTCCATATATCTAGAAACAATAAACATTTAAAGTTATGTGTAGTTCATAAAAGCACTCTTCTGATTGACTTTAAATCATCTCAGAGTTCAATAGAAGGACACTGAGACGATTCCTCTACACAAAATACGACTGATAGAAATGTCAGAGACATACAAAATGTGATTACGTATTTTGTTATTTTTACAAAAATAAACAAAAACGCCATGGCAAAACTGCTAAATTCATTGCCACATGAACATTTGGCATGTGCTTCTGCAGCATAGCCATCTAGAAACAGACATGACTGGAAAGATAGGGCTTTTATAGGCGTGAATCTGAACTTGAAAACCTACAAGTTCTTCATTCCATGACTATGCTGTGAGTTGATTCGTCTTATTTCCACAAAATCAGGGTCCTAGGTTGTACTAGCTCTTCCTGACAGCTAGTTTCTCTGAATTCAGTATTTATGGACCTAGCAGCACTATAAAGATGTTTTATTCTTTATAACTACTACATATTTCAATGCGGTTCTTACATGTCATGGAATATATTTAAGAATATATGACATACAATGCAAGTTTGTACCAGTACATCTGCTGAGAATATAGTCTTCACATTTGAAGCCCACAGGTTTGTTGCAGCAGCTAATCATTTCCTTTTTGCAAATGTAGGCCTCAGTATTGAAAATACATATGCATGAAAATCTGTATAGTCCCATTGAACTCAGGCAGTGGCATCAGAATTTTAAATTAATCCACATAATTCTAATACTGTACACTTTTATGACTGGCAATTCAAGGATCCTAAATCCAAAAAAATAACACTCTGACCTCGAAGCTTCAAAATTTTCATTACCAAAGCTTCTTATATTTCTGCTACTTGCTGTGCACTTAAAGCCCCTTCCACCCCCTGCTCTTAATGGCACTGAGCAATCTGGTGCCTTATCCATGTCAGTAACATAAGACTCTGTTGCTAAGACTGAACTTTAAGGCAATGATGTTTTCCTGGGAGCCCAGGCACTTCAATAAGGGACACTAATTACATTAACCAGCAAAACTGTCAAAATTAGGAGGACTGATCTATAGGCTTATTGTGTATATAAATGTAGTAGTATATACGCTACAGTATAACCACCAACCGCTTTAAATGGCCATTTCTACAGAAATGTCTTTTTCCCCTTATGCATAATGCACATAATACCATGAGCATTATGAGTGTGCTATTCAGCAGTTCTTCATAGAATTATTTAAAAACCAAAAATATTTTCTTGGTTTTGAGATATTTAGAAAGCTCAGTGAGTTCAATTAGTATTGCTGTTCCTCCTGAATAACTTCTAAAACAGAACAATGAAGGGTTTAGCCCTTTCTGTGCGTAGAATATACTGGGATAGGCCTAGGATATGACCTGCAGTTTGTTCTTACAAATTCTCCTATTCTGCATTATTTCTGTTAGTGAGTAGATACTCTTCACTGTAGTCTTTCTTCCTTTTCTCCATGCTAAGAACGATGATAGTTGGAAAAAAAGAGAAAGAAAGAGATTTTCAGTTATATCGAACTGTACCAAGTAAGAAAATTGTTTCAGTTGGAAAATCAAAAATATTTGTCCTTATTAGCAGTGCTCACTAAAGAAAATTTAGAGACAAATTTTTGCTAACAAATAGTTCAATATACTTAAATAATTAATGTTTTCTCACTTCCCCAATTACAGGACTATTACAGGATTTTAGATTTCCCTAATTCCATAAGCACATTTGAATGGGCCATGTATTTCATATTTAATAAAGGTCCATAAATTTGATATAGATTTAAGCTGTTTGACATATGTAGTGGAAATATTATATGCATTATACTGTTTAATATTTCTTTGGTATAACACAAACTCACTTCTCCAATAGCTTCTCTATATTTTAAGACACACTTTATAACTATGATCTTGACTTACGAAATGGAAGTTACAGTATTGAATGTTAGAGCTATATTTGGGCATTTTAAATGTAAACATGATAAAAATTACTTACTACAACAGCTTTTTGCACATATTGCTATTATTTTTGCCAGATCACACTAGAGAATAATTAGTGGGCAGGGTAGATATATAATAAAAATTAAAAGCATGAATTAGAGATGAATGAATCTGATTTACTGAAATACATTTTGACACAGCAGTTGTTTCTTGTCAATTCAATAAATTTCACTCAGGGAATATGACTTCTGGCCATAATCTACATGCTTCAGATGATAATCTGCTTTATACATAACTACTTTTTGTCTGAATTCATGGAAAGTTTGATAGGACCCATACTTTTGATATTTTTATAGTTTGCGGCATTTAATATTGGATTTTAATACTGTATATATGAAATGTCATGCATACAATAGACAGAAAAATAAGTGTTTCCTTGCACAGTTAATATATGGCTGTAATCACTTGAATAATTTCTTAACTACTTGTTTAAAAGGATATGATCTCCTTTTTAGCAAATTCATCCAGCCCCAACAGAATGCCAAAGTAAACCACCAGTCAGCCCAAGTGTCTGTTGTAAAGCTGTATATATGTATATATGTACTCCCCAAAGAAAGAATCTAGAAGAAAGGAGAGGTCTTGAAAACAGTTTAAAATTTATAAACAACAAAGATTATAGACTCATCCAACACTGATCAGAAAAGATGATGTCTCAGATTTGAGGTCAGCATATAAGGGTATTATGGCTGACTCGCATTTATTCATATTTACATATTCAAAGAGAAACAAAGTCACTGACTATAACAGGGGAAAGATTTATGCCCACATATCAAAGAATTTATTTCCTTCACTGGAACTCAAGATTTCAGTATTTGCTGCAGACAGTTACTCTTAGAATGTTCTGAAAAAAAAATATACATTGAACAGTAATTTGCTATTGAAAGATTAAAAAATATTTGCAGTTAGCAATAGGTTATCCTCAGCAGCTCATGACTACTGGACTAAAGCAGAAAGGAAACATTGCAAAGAAGCAAAATAGATGAATGAAATATATAATTTAGACATAAAAACCTCTCCCTTTTACTTAGCTATTATAAGTGTCTCAACTGTGCCCTTGTTGTTCAAACTATTACAACAATAGAAGCTACCTAGTTTTAGATTTCAATCTTAAAAACTTGCTTTGTCCAAATGTATTAGGTTCTGAGAAAGTCTTAATAAAAACTGAAGAATAAGAATCCTTTTTTTTTTTTCATTTATTATAACCAGATAAAATATATCAGAAAAGTAATAAAATGAAATGTCAGGGATATACCGGAAAATTAATATATGACATATCAGAGGACGTAGAGTTATTTCCCCCAGCGATATTCCATGTGAATATTCAGCTGAGAGGTGGAAATAACAGGGGAAAGTACTTGCCATTTACAAAGTCTGGCCCTTGTTTACTATTCCTATTATGGCTTTTGCTGTTTTATTTAATCTTATACAAACATGAATGAGGTATGGATAAATCCAGGAATCAGGATATTCAAACTGAATGCCTTTAAATGCCATAATACATCACAGTCAGCTAATAGGAGAAGATTACGATTAATTTCTCTCCCTTGTTTTGTACCAGTTTCAGAGAAAAGTATTTTTTTCAATTCAAGGAATACTTCAGTCTTGCAGAAATTTTCTTTCATTGGTCTCTGTGAAGAGTTTTCACCTTACAATTCAAATTGACATACATCTATAAACATAGCTTTCACAATCCACTATTTCATCTCGAATAAAAGGAGGAAGACACCTGAGTGTGAAGGGCCTGTTGGATCCTTCACATGCAGGGTAGGGTAAGATGATCCCAAGCACCCAAGAGAAATGGATGCTTAGCTCATTTTGATGCTTTTGTTAATTCCATTAATAGACTGACTATAAAGATCTCACAAAGGATGCAGAAGAATGGCTTTTTTTCTAGTTCAGAATGTTTGGTGATACAAGCAGGCCTCTGTATTATCTCCATTTTGTGACATTTACTCAAGCTAACACTATTTGGTATGTCCCTGCTTTTTTGAAGCTGACCTAGTGTTGGTTTGCAATTTTGTTTATTTTGCTTTTCTTTTTAGTTGGATACACAATGAATGATCTAATTTTCGAATGGCAAGAAAAGGGAGCAGTTCAAGTAGCAGAAGGTCTCACTCTGCCACAGTTTCTGTTGAAAGAAGAAAAGGATTTATGTTACTGCACCAAGCATTACAATACAGGTAGGAAAGCATGTTAGCAATTAAAACTGGAAAGACATTTAACATTTATGTTATTTTGGAAACTTGTTTTATTTATTTAATTATTCTTACTGAACTCACAAGAAGATTAAAATGTCCAGGTGCATTGTGCAGGATAATGCAGTCTTAAATAACTGAAATGATGAAACGAAACTACCTAAAGGCTGATCAAACTTCTGTTTTAGTAAATTTAAGAAACTACATAGCTCACATAATTCAGAAAGAATTCAGCCAGGAGTTTTATTTTTACAGTAGGTGCCATGAACACATCTACACAGAACTGCTGAAATCAAAAAGTAGTATGCTGTGCACTAAGCATGGCCTGCCTCAGTGAGGAAAAAGGGACAAGGCATCCCTATGAGCTGCTGTCACATTTAGATGGGAGAAAGGGTTTATTGTCACAACTCTAGAGGACAGCATGGTCATTGTTATATTTATGCATTGCTTTGGCCAAACTGCATTTCTGTGGCCAAACAGGTGCTCTAAAATATGAGAGCAGCCCACACCCCTGAAAAGATGGCTGAGGTTTGTGTCTCTACTTAAAAAAAACAGTTGGGCCATATAATTTGTCCAGAAAAGTCAAGCTGTTTACAAGTACAGAAAACTGGGAAACCTGGATGCAGGCACTCATCACATGCTTCAGGATAGAGACTTTAAAAGACCTCAGCAGGCAAGAAGACAATTGCACAGATGTGAGACATGCTTATGACAAGCAGGGGGAATAAAATGCAGTGCTGAGTGGCACCAGCTGCAGGCAGAAGAAAGGGTATGTCATCACCAGAGGAAGCAGCAGAGTGGTCTGCTCTGAGTTACAGAACCAAAGTTAGGGTTACAAATCTAGAAGAATTCTATCAGGGCAAACCAAAGAAAAAAGACAGTCTTACTCATTCAGGACTACATTTTTTGTGAGATTCTCTTCTTCAAGTACTTTCTCTGGAGTATTTAATTTTTTATTCAGGTCTGCAGCACAAAGTTAATCAAATTAGAGGGGTTTGATTTGCTTTCTAGGAGAGCAGGAGTGCCTTTCATTACTTTTTACAGCCAGAATTATTACCTACCAATTGTAGACTAAAAAACACTAAATAATATATTAAAAGACAGCAACTAAGAGTTTCTTTTCCTCCACTATATCACTCAGATATGTGACTAGTAACGTGCTTTCTTAAGGGTCCTGCAAAGAGGTGATGTAGACAGATACCCCTTAAGGACACTCCACAAGAAACGAAACAAAACAAAACAAAAAAATCAAAACCAGAAATAAAACCTATTTTTCTGGCCTACAACAGAGTAGATAAAATGAATTCTTAAAAGAACGCTAAGCAACTGTGCTTGGTATGCAATAAAGAACCAAAGAAGTGTATTCAGTTTCAATTTACTTACAGCACAGGATGAAAGCTCTTCCAAGACATCCCATAAAACAGGAAAAAAACCAACCAAACCAAAAGCCTCCCTGTGAAGCAAATTAATGTGAAGCTTCAGGACAGTGTCTGGAAACTCATCAGTGCATGTCTCATCAGCGTTTCATGCCCAACTGAAAATGGATCACTGTAACCACAGTTTGAAAAATAAAATGCTTCTAAATATAGGGACATAACAATTTCAGAACAGTACAGCATAATGGCTCATCAAGTTTTGTGTTCTGAAGTGACGCAACAACATTTCTGAACATTTTCATGTTGTTGCGTCCACTGGTATATATGGCAAACTTGGGAAGTGATGCAGAATCATAACAAGTAGAAAAATCACAGTATTCAAACCATTCACATTACAAGGATGGTCTTGCTCTACCACGTCTTCATTCACTTCCTGTGTGACACGTATTGCTCCCCTGGCCTCTCATGCAAAATGCAATTTTATTGCAATCATTTTGAAAAACTAACAGTCTATGACAGGCTGAGGACATGACAATCTGTAGGCACAGAAAACAACACTGCCTGACTCCAAAAGGGCATTTTTCTCTGCAGAAGAGACCTCGGTTGTCACCCCTCCACTGATAAAAATTGAAACATTCATTGCATAAAAAATTATCAGCTGTCCTTGAAGCAGAGATGTTACGTCTAGAAGCCCTTGCTATTTATGTTGCTGTTAGATTCTCCTTACTTTCTACTTCTCCCCTCTGTGACACTGCTAATACAGTGGAGCATGTGACTAGTCTTTCACCTTGCTAAACTTCTGTTCAAGTCATTATCTACCAGCCTCTCAGACCTTTCCTGTACAACCGCTGCCTACCCAGTCCATCCCCAACCTGTACCAGTGCATGAGGCTACCTCACTTTCATTGCAGAACTGTGCATTTATCTTTACCAATTGCCATGATGCTGTGGTGGGTCCTCCAGTCCCTCTGAATAGCAGAGGATCCGTTCTGAGCAAGTGCAAATTCATCAAGTTGAAAAAAAAATAGTTTATCCTTTCTCCATTTCTTTTCTATTCTTTTTACCACAGTCATTACCAGTCTTGCACCAATGTTAAGCTTACCACCTGCCACAGAACAAGCCATGTAAAGTCACTTATTTCCTGGCCAAGAACTTACACTTATGTAGTCAATGGCACATGAGAGCACCAGCAGTGATATTCCCCAATATGCCACTGATATCTGCAGACCATGACTTGAAAGAAAAACTTAATGGTAGTACATTCCTACAGCCAGTTTGTGAATCTTAATTTTAGATACATAGACACCAGCTATATATACGAGAACAGGTCTAGTTTTATATGACAGACGCTTGAATATTATTATTTCTAGTCAGGCTGCATGATCATAGACACAGCCTGAATGTTTTACAACAAGGAAAAGACAAGTACTTTTACAAGCAATTTTTATCTCTTTGACTATTCTCAGTGTGTGTTGTAGTGCAATAGACATTTGTTTTGAGTAAATAATGGTCCTTTTTTCCTTCATACAAAAGTACAGAGATGAAACAAGAATACTCAAAGCATTACAATGGCAACTATTTAGGGAGAACCTGGGAATCCAGGGTATTAAATGTTAGAAAACAGTATCATAAAGTGCAGCAGCCACGCTGCTTCAATCCATGCAAAATCTGTTTCTTGGGTCTACCTATTGAGTCTCCCTATTGTTTTGTCTTAGAAAATGAGTCAACTTTTGCTTTTAGAAGAGAGGACTACCTAGTTTTGCTCTATAGGGAAAAGTGCATCAGCTGCCTTTTTCAGTACCTCTTTTCCAGACAAAATGACAAACTGACTTCTACAAGTCTAGAAATGATAAACACTGCAGCAGTTCAGGACTGCACCTAGAAATACACACTCTAACACAATGTTCAAGCTCAGACTGAGCTTGAAAGCTTAGGACCTTTATGGGTAGTACAGGAATCATCTGCCTAAAGAAGTGATTCCCAGAAGGCAGACAATGGTAGAAGCCCTATACTGTATTAAGGGATCTAAATCTAAATCAGTAATTTTGGCTAAGCCAGGGAAGAAGTCTCGCTCTCCATTTCTCCTTTCCTGCTATCTCTCAGTACTTAATTTCATGTGAAATCTGTGTCTGTAGCTGTTTATCAAGGGGGAAAATGCAGTGCTAGAGAAGAGACCATCATCACATCTCAGTTGCCTCAGGACTCTGTTAGCAAATCTCCATAGATAGCAATATTTTGGCCATTGGGCTGTTTTTTTGGTCATTAGTCTTCAGTAAAAACAGAACCATGTAGTCCACCTCTGTATTGGCAGACGTGTTGGAACCAGAATACAAAATATCAGCTTCCCAGATCTAACCTTCATACTCTGCAGGGTTCCATAATGATTTATTCAGATTTGTTTAATTTAGTTTAGTTTAATTTTGATAAGCCTTGAATTATTCTCTATTCAACAAGTATGAAATTCTTACTTAAGTAAATAGTTTTATGTAATTTTGCTAAGCTATACAGTCTTTAGGCCACAGTCTTATCTACATCCATAAAATATTTTCACAGTACATTGGCTATTAGCATTATCAATGGCTTTTCTTACATGAAGATTAGACTATGACCCACTAGCATCTAAAGTAGTATCAAGAAGGAGATACTTCAGCAGATATCTCTCCATTCTCCATGGATTAACAGTTAAAACTCTTCATGCTTAGTTCCTTTATTTTTTATTTTTTAATTCTTATTCCTTTTATATTTTGCTGTTATGAATTTTCAATTTCATAGTGTTTTAATAAATATTATTACTTTTATCTTTGTTTCTCAGGCATGCTATTTCTTTGGTTCAGTTTCCTAAGGTGATTCTCCATTATGAAAATTTTCTATGTAGCTTCAGAAATAGCTCCTCAGCCTTCCTGGGAATTGTAAACATGACCATGATATTGTGAGGGTACAGTAACGAAAGCTTCCCACAGGGAATATCTTAAAGTTTGCTGAAAGGGGACAAACCTATTTAAGTTCTACCAATTGCTGCCTCTGGAGCAGTGTGAGGCAGAGGAAACTGAAAACGACTCCTTACGGCCTGAAAGATACTACTTATGCTTGCTTTTGCTTGCACACAAGCACACTCCTACCTGTATAGATCACTACTTTAACAGCACCTGCCATTGTCAAAAGAAGTTGTACAGCATGAAGGTGTGCTAAGGTGGAAAACTGCTCTTCTCAGGTTACTCACAGTTGGCCACAGCAGCAACAACCAAAAAAAGAATATGTGACTTAAGCACTGACTCCAAAGAAAAGCCACTTGTAGTTTATGGGGAAAAGAAAAAACATATAGAATGACTGGAATATCAGTTTCAGTGTGGACACTGCATGGAAATCATGCCAGCCCAGTAGGTCTGACCTTGATACTAAAGAACTTGTGTAAGAGAGAAAAATGCACCATCTCCTGCATATATATACCAATACGTTCACTTCGCATGCATAGGTACAGTATTCAGCAAGACAGTACTTTTGGTGCCTTTAGCACACTTGAATCCCTGGTTAGGCTGGACTTCCAAACATGAAGAACCTCTCTTTCAGGAAAAAAATGTTTATGTTTTAGGAAGCTCTTAATAACTGTTCTTTCTTTTGCATTAGAAAAATCTGCTTTTATGGATTGTGTGCACATCTAGATTTACCCTTAGTCTGAAATAGCATCAGGCTTTAATATGTTACGCAGCCTCAGCAAAACCACAATACCACAAAGGTTTCATACGTTCCTCCTGGCTACTCCTCATAACGTTTACAGTGAATATCAGAATGAACTAGAGTTTACCTTCTGTGTACTGCAAATGAATTTTTAGAACAATGCTTTTAGCTGCTTGGATATTTCTTTCCCCAGCTGAGACGACTTCATGGGTATGTCTCTTCTGATCTAGTCAAGCATCCAGTCAAAAAGATTAAAGCACAGCTAACCTGGCTTTGGATTTGAAATAAAATACAGGACAAGAAAGGAGACCCACAGCTGGAAAACAACAGCACAGCCTCTGCTGACTGCCTCCTAGCTGAAGTTCACAGCTGCTAGTTCAATCTATTTTTTTTTTTCCCATTCTGCTTCATTAGCCAAGTTTATGCAAGTGGCTCTGATCTCAGCCAGGAAGGGCAAAAATTAACATCACCCCTTCCATGCTTAGATCAGTAACTGTTACAACTGCAGTGCCAAGACTGATTTCCAACTGTTGCCTTTCTCCAATAGTCAGCAGTGGAGTAATAGGGAGAAGTCTACCTGGGGAGACAGCAGTCTCCCAGGGAAGTTGCCAAGTATTAATCTTTCAATGCTATTCTGGAACAAAGCAGATGAGGAACACATATGAGTTGCAAGTCCGTAAACTCACTGGGCCTGAGACAAAGGCAGGAATCTAAAGTCACACATTCCGTGCAGTTAGGTAAAAGTATTTTTTCACTTCACTTTCTTATTTTCAATTTTTGTCTATCAGGGATTGGGGCTTTTCATTTGTTTTGGGGGTTATTTTTAACCTTGGTCAATAATGTCTGAAAAATACAAATCCATGCAAAAGAATCTTTCAGTATAGTTCCTCTAACACATCACTCAGATTCTGGCCTCTTCATTATACCATCTCTTTTCTGTACTTTTCTATGATTACAATATATTCCATTTGTACTTCTCTCATTGAAAATCTCTTTCATTTTCTCAGGGTTCTGTTCTCCACAGCTGTTCTCCCTCCTTAGTTTAGACAAACCTGGCAAACTTACAACCACATAAAAAAGAAACCACATCAGACCTACTACATTATTTATTGCTCCCTCTTTAGGACATGGTGCTAATAGCTCTGTAACAGTTCGAGCCCTCAGGAAGAGTCTTAGATCTTTTATCCCACCTTTCTCTGGAGAAAAAAAAAACACACCCGCACCAAAAAAGCAAAACCAAACAAAACAGTGAGCAAGCAGTAGCCAGTGTTTACTGACACTCCAGTCATGCACAGTCTTTCTGATGCGCCTTAGTTTTCCTTCCTAATTTGTTTTCAAAGAAGAATATAGGACCCTATAAGAAGGAAATGCTTCATGCTGAACTGTAATTATTGTGATGCCAAATAAAACAGCTTTGCAAGAGACCTAGATCTGCTTGATGCATTTCTGTCACTCCTTACCCCCATGATTTCCTGTGATGTATGCGAGAGAGAGAGATCAGTGCTGTCCGAGTCTGCTGTCACACACAAAAAAAAAAAAAAAATCTTCAGGGTAAGGATCAGTTTGAAGTAAGAATATGATTTTGACAAAGACCCAGTGCAGAACTTCTAGTTATGTGAGCTGTACTGAACTGATAAGTAAAAGAATGTATCTTTGTAGTTATCTTTGAAGATCCTGGAAGAGAAGCATAAGGGAAAACCCTGGTCTTTTCCTGTTCCCTTTGTTAAACTAGGACTTCATCCCTTGATTGAAACAAAAATCAGTTTTTGAAGCTGGGACAGCAGATGGTTGAGACAGGATTTGGGACACAGATTTCAGTAGTGTAGATAGGATTCAGAAAAAAACAGCAATTAGGAATGGAACTAATAATTGAGCCAGCAGATATAAAACTCCTGGGATATGTCATTTTAAAATTGAACATCATAACTACTGTCTTTCTAAACAATTTTTTAGTGTCTCAACAGAATTAAAATTTTATACAATGATAATTACTATGACATCATAGAAACAACTAACAGCCTGTGAAGAGAACTATTATGAAAAGAATTAATTTCAGCAGAAATTTCCAAGCCTAGAATGAAAAAGCATTTCAGTTTGACTTTATCTGAAACTCATTTCTGTTTGTCTAACACTTGTCACAGCATAATACACAATATATGAAATTAGTATGGCATAAGCTCATAAATAAGTCCATTACATGAATTTTGTTACTATGATAAACATTAAAGCACTATTAATGTGGAATTATTTTCTATAAAATTGCATTTTGGCAAATAAAAATGGATTAAGAAACTATCCATCCAAATAGATACATTCTATAACAAAAAAACTGCATACCAATTAAGAAATAAACAACTATATAGCTTTCCATGTTAAATTAGGAAATTCTTTCATTCAAATAAGGAAGAAATCTGAGCTATGCATATTTCCTGCTGTAAGAAACTGTGTATTCATGTATACTCTATTTACAGTAACAGCATTGCCGTCAGCACCATTCATATGTGACTAATATGAGCATTGAGCAGAATTAGAAAATCTGATGAGACCAGGTCAAGATCTGTGAAATCTACAGTCCATGGGGTAAAAAAAAAAAAAAAAGCAATCTGGATAGGAGAAAAAAAATGGGTTTATGGCATTTCTATGAGAAAACTAATATTTTTGTTCTGGCTTAAGTTGTTTGATGTTCAGTGTCTGGGATAAAATAGGTCATTTAATTAGCTTCTTGAAGTTAGTTAATCTCAAATCCTCAATTTCTATTTAAGTCTCAGACATTGTACTTTTGAACTGGAACAGTTTCAATGGGGATAAAAGGCGAGATTTAGCAGAATCCTAATGTCCAAACTGATCTCACTATATTTTTCTCAAATTCATTGAACTAAAAAAAAGGAATTTAAGCTTCAAATTGAACCAAAAGATAAAGAAGAAGTTATACAATAGGAAAGGAGCCCTTTTCTTTGCATACATCAGTATTTCCAAACAATAGAAAAACAAGTATGATCACACAGAAGAAGTTTCCTTTATCATAATGAATTGTGTTTTGGTTTTTATAAAGAAAGAGTTCCAGAGGTTAGTGAATTCTTAAGTTTTCAGGTTTTCTGTCCACTTTCTTTTCAGTAAATACTCCTGTTATAACAGAGATAATGCATATTAAAGATTACTGAACAGAAATCAAAACATCCATCTTTCATTAGAGAACAAATATATTTGACAGAGTGTAAATTCTTTAATGTGTGCACTAGATGTTGAGAGTAAAGAACATTCTATTTTTATTGAATATTTCTCCTTGCTATAAAAAGGAAAGTTTACGTGTATTGAAGTCCGATTTCACCTTGAGAGGCAGATGGGTTACTATCTCATCCAGATGTACATACCAAGTCTCTTGATCGTCATTCTCTCCTGGGTGTCATTTTGGATCAACATGGATGCAGCTCCAGCCAGAGTGGCTTTAGGCATAACAACTGTACTGACCATGACAACACAAAGCTCAGGTTCACGAGCATCTCTTCCAAAGGTAGGCAGAATTTCCTTTGTTTACACCACGCTAGTACAGAGTCATAATGCTGTGTGACAAATAAACACCTTCAGTCAACCTTATAATGTGTGTTTGAATTATCAATATTCAAGCATCTTCTAAAGGAGATAAACTTGAAATATTTAGGTGGGTTTTGAGTCATCAGTCAAATATATTCCATTCCTCCCACCTCAACTATTTAGCCAACTGTCTACTAAATTCCACAAAATTCAATAAGTAATGAAAGCAATGTTATTGAGTACTATATAAATGCTGCTTAGCACTTGGCTAGCTCATCATTTTCCAGATCCCAGTATTTGATGACATGCTAACAGATATCACTGAATTTCTAAAGTTCATAGATTCTAACCCTCTCTCAATGATATTTCTTTCTCAAAACCTGCCTACATTATAAATTAACTCACTAGTCATAATTAACTAGTTAACAACTAGTTAACTCACTAGTTACAATTTACATTAAAATATAGAAAAATGTGAAGCTAAATAGTTCCAGACAGCTGTATAAAGAATGGCTCACTACACACTGTAAATACCTTAAAATTATATTTGTATGATTAATTATTTAAGTTTTCTGGCTTGTCATGGCTTTAGAGATTTTCATTTTAAGGCTTATCCCTTGACCATCTTCATGTTCCACTGCACTTAACAGAAATAAAATATACACAATAAAACTACACAAGGTCCACTTCTGTATTTAGTTTTAACATGGTATTTTTATGCTGGCTAATTAAATTTTTCTCCAAGTAAAATAGATATCCCTAACAGGGGTGTGTCTTATGCCTCAAATATATGGAACTAAATGCATCTGAATCTAGAATCAACAGATAACAAAATTATAGAAAAACTCAGAAAAAGAAGACTGTAAGAGGTTACCAAAGAGAGCTGCAGACTTTTTTTTTGTCACATTTTTTAAGCCTGAAGCTAGTTATGTTGGTTTATATGACAAAGCTCTTATAAATCTACACATGTGGAGAGGCCCTACTTTCCTGGTTCAGATTATGTCCTGCAGCAGAGCTTGGCATTAAAAGATTGCAATGAGTTCATCTACTCTGTAATTGGTTTTCAGTAGTTCCACTGTGTCAAAATTACAGGACTAATTTGAACCTGTAACTTTGATTTAGTGTGTCTATATTAGCAGAGAATGAACATACCAGAGTTATCCATTTATCTCCCATCTTCTACCTAATTTCTATTCCAGGCACTTTAAATCAGATCTATTCTAATACAGGAATTCCCACTGGTCCCGCTCTAAGGTATTCTTTGGTTCCTTAGTATCATTCACAGATCTCAGTGGGACAAATGGAGGAAGAGCATGTGCTTCTTCTGGATTATTTGGTTTGTGATAGTGTAAACAGTACCTTATAAGGAACTGTTAATAAGAAACAGTAAACATATTTTGCCAAAGACTACTTTTTTAAAAGAAACATTTAACATTTACAGCTTGAATTGTTGTCCCTCTTATTATCTAGCTTTCATGTTAAGTTTTGTTTTATAAAAGTAGTGTTGGGATGTGGAGATATTAATGAACTCCCTCCTTCCTGATATGAAATGCTAAACCTCACATCTGTGGTTTTAACACAGTCTTTCTCACTATAGGTATCATATGTCAAAGCTATTGACATCTGGATGGCTGTGTGTCTGCTCTTTGTATTTTCTGCACTTTTGGAGTATGCAGCTGTAAACTTTGTGTCAAGGCAACATAAAGAACTTCTGCGATTCCGCCGCAAAAGGAAGAAGAACAAGGTAAAAGTAACAACATTCACAACTTTGAAAGAGAGTCAGAGATTGATTTATCCCAGGATACAGGGTTAATTTGGTAAACACAGTCAAGGCTTAAAGTGCCAATATAAATAAAATAGCAGCATTCGCTATAGGTAGAGTGTCACTACAAGGACTATGCACTGCATAAATCCAACTTGAAGTCTCAAAGAGGGATTAAGAAGGATTTAAATGAGGCATGGACCATGTGGAAGCCATCTGCACAAGCATGAATTTCACTCTATTAGAAAAGTTAGATTCTTCGGTGGATGAATGTTGCTGGTCTTGCAGCAGTTTTTATTGCATTGAGATCTAACAAATAATGTTTCCTAAGTTCTTTCTAGTATTCAGTTCAAAGCCTTAGCAGCAGTGTTTTATGTAAATATTTTAATTTAAAAAATAATTAATATTATTGATGAAAAAACATTTTATTTTAAAAGGCTGAGAAGTTTTTTTTTCTTCTAACATTAATTCAGTGTAAATTGTTCATACAACTAGTAAGAAACTTTAATATGCCAATGGTTATTAATATTTCTTTTATAGCTGAAGATATCTAGACTAACAACAAAATAAGCCACTACCAAGCGCAAAGTCAAACAGCTAAGGCTACAGGTTTTAATTTTAAAGTTGCAGTCAAATCAAGCAATAAGCAAAATTTCTTACAATAATATGTAACTCCTACTTTGGATTTTTTGAAGAGTAAGTTTTTCTCCAACCTACTCATTAAAGAATATGCACCACTGGTGTCATGCAGAGCCCTTCTGCTGGCTTTTAGTGGCTACCTAGAGTATCACTGTGGATAAAAGTCTGACTGTAGCTCAAACTTAGCTCAGTAATCTTTTGTTCCTGAAGACTTGCCTCAGTTTATTGCTTACACCACAAGGAAAGGACATTTTACAGTTTTTTTCCCTTTTACTTAGAAGATATGGAAAATCTGTAATGCAGCAAAGCTTACCTAAGCATTCTCTACTAGTAAGACTCCATGCTGAAGGCAGGCTGGACAGTCAGATGAATATGACATTCTCACACATTTGCCTGTTTCAGTGTTTTGGGTCCTAGACTTCAGCTGCCGAAACGTATGTGCTGTAGCATAGAGGATGATTCAGCCCACCTGTACCTGTTTTCAACATTTGCTCCTGTGAAAAAATGTGTTTTTTTCTTTTCACTGGTAGTAGCAGAAAAAACACTTTCTGAGACACACATTTTTGTGACAGATTATTTGTTTTTCAATTGTGGCAGTTCTCTGAAAGCTGCTTAATGGTTTGGAATGGGTAAGTGGAAGACAGAGACAGATTACTGGGCAGGGGACAGGTGAGCCACAACAGATGTGTCATGTATCAAACAGCAGTGGTTAGTGATATATTATGTGACTAAACCTCTAGTCTATTCATTTTTTTCACCATGTGTTATAGCATCTTCTGGATGTCACACAAATTTACCATATTCAACTTTAGCAATATCTTTCTTGAGCACAATTCAATTATTATAAATGCAGGGTTAGAAATTGGCAGGTAATATTACCTACCTTCCTCAGAATCAAACCAAACCTTTTTCAAGCCCCATCTTAGCAAGACTTCAAGCTCACCAAAGACACTTCTTCAACAATCACAATCAATCAAATTTCATCTTAGATATATGTGGAGAAAGATCCACAATATACGAAGTACTTCTAAGAGAAGATCACTGAACAAAAATGTATGCATATGAATAGTATCATTGACTGAAGTGTTTTGCTAGGTCAGTGCTTGACATCCTGGTATTACTTAAAAGACCTTATTCTAATTTTACATTTCATTAAGCAGTCTTAAACCTTCAGGTAGGTTGCCTGTTAGATTCTCATGAAATTAGAGGGTTAGAGACTGAAGTGTCTATAGTAAACTATCAAGTACTACTGTTTGATTCTGTAGGATGAAGACATGCATTTCAATGCTTTTCTTTATAACATACCTAGGTGAGGATATTAAACATATTCAGAGGGACATGGTATTCCCTTCCTCCCTGTATTGGGAAGTTTCATCATGAGTCAGGTTTCTCAGCCTACATTTACCAAGAAATCCTTTGTTCCCATGCAAGGTTATGATTTTGAGAAGTAGACATTTTTTCTAAAAAGACTAAATGAATGTTTCTTGGGTGACTCCATTCTGTGTAAAGCTAGAGCTCCCAGACAGAGTTATCTTTTGAGAATATACCTTCTCAAGATCTACAGACAGCTCAGCTAATTGCTTCTCTTTTTCTCAATGTTTTATTAAACCATTCCTTTCCCAACAAGCAACAAGACATGTTACAGCATAGAGATACTTTCTCTTCAAAAAATTGGATCTCATCCAAGGCCTCAGGTATACAAATAGTGAATGACGTCTTTCAGATTAAAAAAAAAGCAGTTAATAACTAGGCTTCCCTACCACAAATGTTACTATTTATTCACCACAATTTCTAACATGAAATGCATACACTAGGATCATAATTCAAATTAACCTTTGCTTACTTATCTTTTGTCTTTTTTAAAGTCAGTTAGTATAGCATATGATTATAAAGTTTTATATTTGTTTGTTAACCTTTTGGACTAGGTTAAACTCTCAGGAAATAGATTGTATTGACTTTTAAAACTACCATGTACAAAGAAATGTTCATTTGACCACAAAGTCAAAAGACATGAAAATACGTTAAAAAGTTGTGTTTAAAATAAACTTCAGGGGTTTCCTTAAACATTTAAACCTCTTTTTTTTTTTTCAAAGTGAAAACTGTTATTCTATTCAGTATTTATGTCCAAATAGATTACAGAAATAGAGCAGTTAGGATAATTTATCAGATTTTTTCATCCTATGTGCTCACCATGTGGGGACATTTTACTGGGATTGGGTTTTTCTACCACATGAATTCCAACCGATGAATACAGAATTTTTTTACATAGGCTTTTTATCTGCAAAGATAGAGCAAAATTCTTAGTGGTTTGACTGTGTTGCAAAAATCAAAGAACAGATGGGTTTGGAAATGGTTCATTTCAGGTTATCTGTTGACAGAAGAGAACATGCATGCAAAATCTCTAATTGCAATAGGGCAGCTGAAGAATTTCCAAAGTTTATTTTCTTTGTAACTAAAAAGATGTGTTTGTTGCAAGAAATATTTGCCTTTACCAGGTAATCCTAGCAATGGCCAGACGATTCAATTTCAGTGCTGGAATGCCCCTCAGAGGTCAATGAATCCATTTCCTTGACCCAAGTCAGGATCAGTTATACCTAATTCATCACACTCATAAAAATTGAACAAGCTCTCCTACAATCTATTCCAATAGTTTAAATTCTTTTTGATGGCTTGTCTACAAGGAATACAGAACAGAATGCTGCATTCCTTTATGTAGCCATCTGTACATTTCCTTTCATTTTTTTTTCTCTAAATATTCCTAGGGTGTGATTTTTGTTTTGTTTATTTTTTTCTCCTTAAGTGGAAATTCACCTATTCTCCTAAATAAGTCCATGTAATTCCTCAAAACTCTGTTCGCAACATGAAGCCTAGCCAGTAACAGTTGAGAGCAGGTGAAGGATCACATGGTGTAAGTTATACATTTGTTTATTCAAGCCGGTTTGCCATTTGCCCTTTTAACAACAGCAGGTACTGACCCATACCAAGATTGTGACCTTCCATAACTCACAGGTCTTTTTCCAGAACTACTGCAGAGCCATTCACTTCCCATCTTATGTCTGTGAAGTTTATTATTCCTGGCTAAATGTAGTACCTTGTATTTGTACCTACCAACTCCCCTCTATTTCTCTGTCCAAATCATTGAACTCAACTTTAACTCCAGATGTATCCCCAGATGAATTTGCAGTTTTTCCCAGGTTGGAGTCTTCTGTAAATTTTATCACACCTATGGGCTATTCCTTTTCAACACTGATTAAAAACAAAAGACGACTGAAATATCACTTTTAAAAAGCACTTGCTCGAACTCTGATAAACCCTTTGCAGTAAACAAGTGCAGCAAACAAAATAGCTGCTGAATTATGGGAAATTATACAGTTACACAAAATGTAATCATGTACAGAGCTGTATCAAGACATTTTGGTATCCAAAGCTTATCTATCCTTGCCATTTTCCTTGTGCTTTTTCCCCCTACAGTCACATCCTCTCTTTTACACCATCTAGTACATTTGCAGCCTCCCTTCCCAAACAACAGTAACAGCACCTCTGTTATTTTTAGTTATAACTGCACTCTTTGGCTACCATTTTTATAGTTGTAAGTATTGACCTTGCTCAATGACTCCAAATAACTGAAAGACAAATTTCTTTTCAGAGACCAAATTCAATTTGCACAGAATAAGCAAAAATTTTGAAGCTCTGGGATTGTGTTAAAAATAAAAACATAATATACAGTGTACTCATTTGTGGTTTCCAATAGGCATCAGAATAGATATAGAATATTTTTCAAAAAGGGATTAATTTCTTTGTGGCTACACAAATGGCATAATGAATACTGAAAACAGGGGAATTTTTGGTTCCAAATTTGAGATTTCATTTGGTAGTGAGTATATGAACCATAGTGTTTTGTCTCCGTCAGAGAAAGAAATCTGGCCAATGAACACAACTATTTCACAAATATTATATTACTAATATGATGGAAACATTCCTTCAGAATGAACAAATATTAATTATTAATTAATATATATTAATTGAAAGACAAAAGGAAAAAAATATCAAAGTTAAAAGTCATACAGGGATACTGAAAAACACCTATAATCAATGCTTTTTCTTATTAGCATTTAGATTGCACGGGGAAAAACATTAACTGTATACATATACTGAATAACACTTTGATTTTAGATTAGTTTTTAATATATTTAGTTTTCAGGAACAGTCAATCTTTTAATTCTATTTTCAAAAATCTAAAGATCATTGTATCTTTAGTGAGGAAAATAGACATGCAAACTAGATTGTCTTTAATGGTAATCATACCTCTTTTCTTTTGTTTTCTTTTTGGTCAACCCATCCATTTTGATGAAAGTATTTTGAGGGAGTTCTTGATGGAAATGAAATCAGTGAATCATTGCATCTTAGCAATGGCTTGAGATGTACACGACCTATAGACGGAACTTTGCCTCAAATCTACAGTACAAATTTAAGGGTAAACTACGAAGAAGATGTCCCATTTGTCATAATGTGATATCCAATCATTAACAGAGGCCCTATCCTTTTGTCTGAAATAATGTCTTCCCATGTGAACTTCATATACCTTCATTGCTACCTGTATGTGATGACGTGAAATATTAATAAAGGTACTTGTTTTGTTAATTCTGAAATCCATCTAGATCTCTTTAAGTCTGCATTCAAACATAGTATTAAAATTATACTTCCTGCAACTTCAAAGGAACAGTGACATCAGTTCAAAGAATAATCATTTGCTACCAGATCAGTATTTAAAACCAAATTGTTTGTAGTGCAAACCAATTCAATAATACTTTTCTGCTCAAAAATTAACAACAAAAAATACAGTGTTCAAATAACCAAAACCAAAGCTTCAAATAATTCTTCAAGCTGTTACCACAGCATACAGTCAAAAAGCTATCGAGATACTCTTAGCCCTTATCCATATTACTCCTCAGAAGAAATGTATTATTAAATATATGGATAGAAAACAGCATGGTCACAGGGCCACAGAAACTGCCAGTTTTCAATACTTAATTAACTCAAAAGTTAATATCAATAATAAAAGTAACTACATTTTTCCTGCAGGCACCCTTAGATATGAACCTGGGGCCAAATTAATATTTTTCTGCATTATGAACCTGATGAAAAACTTGCATAACCACAGAAGAAAATTATGGTGGTACCTGGCATATTACAATGCTCCGAAGGTGCTGTTTCCTGCATAGCCATTAACCTTAGCCCTTTGGTCTGACTTGGCAGGCTCCAGCCATCCTGCCTGCCCTAAGGGAGACACCATCCAACAGACACTGGGCAGAAATGTAAGATTTGTAGAAGGACCTTCACATCACTTCCTCGACAACAGAGAGCATTTCCAAGCAGCCTGCTCACAAACTAATCTCAGGATGTATGCAAGAAAAAAAATAAGCAGAGATCTGGCCTTTATAACCATTTTAAAAATCACTCAATTCAGGAAAACAGAGACAGCAAAATCTTAGCATATAGTACCTCATCTGAAAACATACCTAGCTGAAAGCTGCTACCCAGAAAGTTTATTATCCTTTTGAGTCTGTGCAATCATAAGGATTGTTTTCTGGAGATGCATGGAAAGATTTAAGCTCTGAATTTTAGTTTAGTGTAAATTCTCGTGTTCATTTGTAACTCCTGTTAACTAGAATACAACTTCAAAACTTTTCTGTAATGCAACTATTATAAAGATGTTATTTCCCATTCTTTTCTGACAGGAGAGGAACACTGTTATAGTAACTAGATCTTTGGTTTATCACGTCATCAAATAATGACCCTATCATATTGTATTTCTGTTATTCACTTCCATATTGAAGTCAGTCAGTTATTTTCCCTCCTTTTCTTTCATGTTAATTTTTCTTTTTTGTTTCTATAGGAGAGTTCTAATATAGATTTTAAGTATAGAAGTTTCAGTAAGCTATATTAGCCTACTAGTTTATTTGATTTACATGTATGAAAAAGTATTGCAGCTAGGTAATAATTACAGCTCTGCTGGATGATCATGCTGATTGCCAACTAGTTCACTTCAAATGTAGTAATTTGTCTGAATTCTTTTGAAACAACTTATTCAACTAATATTGATGATAAACTTCATTGGATTTTTTTTAAACAAAGTAATTAACAATGGTTCTTCTAACAAGTACTACTTAAGCAAAAATTTAAATACATTTAGAATTAATTCTCCATTCAAAAGCATTTTCAGATTTTCCAAATCTCACAGGCATTTTCAAAATTACAAATTTAGGAGTTTGGATTTAAACTGTGTTCACTGAGAAATTGTATTTGCATAAAGAGATTTAAATTAAGAAATGCTTTGGAATTACTGAACTGAAACACTAATTATTTTACTTGCTTTGGTAAACAATATTTTTTTATCCTTTCATTTTCATTTAAGCTATGAAGAGCTTCAAAGATATCAAAAATTCTCTACAAAAAGCAAAATTGCTGCTTAATTATTTTTTTAATACAGAAATTATTTTCAGGAATATTTAAGATATCACATATGCATAACACTTTGTCATACTTCATAGAAGTCTAGAATCTTAAAACAGCTAGGCTAAATTAGACATGAAATATAGGAAATCCTGAATTTAAAATCAGTATTTTAAAAAATTGTGAAAACCACCAAAATCACATTAATATCCTTGAGTAGCATACATAGTGAAAGAATGCACTGGAATATACTTCAGAACAAACTTTGGTCTAGGCTTCACAGCATATGTATCATTTATTTGCCTGCATTTGTACCTCCATTATCACTTGAGAATACCAATAGCCATTTAAGAGAAATACAAAATGTGTCTCTCCACAGAAGCCACATTCTTGAAACGCATGGTATGAAAATATGTATACCTTCAGATCTCCTAGTTTTGTTTCTGTGCCACATGCTTAAAACCTGCTTTTGCTTACAGCTCCCTGAATGCATATAATGTCTTTGCTAGTTTTCCCCTGAACTGTCAGAAGAACAAATCAGAAGAAAAATCTGGCCTTAGTTTTCATTAATTTTATTTTAAACTAACACACTTTATATATTATTCTCTTTGATGCATTCACAGGAAGACCTGAAATGAGGCATGCAGATGAGAATAACTAAATATACAGTGACCAGATAGGCAGAATTCTCATTAATATATTTAAATCAACATCATTACTGCTTCTATAATGAAAATCTCTAGGGGCCAAGATCCCATTTTATTAAGCAACACAGACTTAATGGCTGTTGTCTAAAAGACCAGAGTGAAGTTTACCCACTTAAAGACTTCAGACATTTACTGTAAATGGGAAAAATTAAACTTGTGTACCCAACTACCAACAGCTTATTTCTATAGTAAAGTATAGCAACTTCTATAGTATAGAAAACTTCTCTCTTTAAGTAGGTTAGAGAATCTATAAACAAATAGAAAAATTCTTCACTTACTAAGGCTGCTGCAATATTTTTGACAGACATTGAAAGGGCTGAAATTTCAACCAGTTAAGATAGATAAACTGTGGATTGAAGAAGTCACTGAGGTAATGGTGCAATATTTGCTATTTAGCTGATGGTAAGATTTTTGTAAGTAGAAAAGCATTATTTGATTTTTCTCTTTCCTTTTTTTTTTTTTTCCTAACAGGATGATGATGTAAGGGAAAGTCAGTTTAGTTTTACAGCATATGGAATGGGCCCATGTCTGCAAGCAAAAGATGGAGTGACACAAAAGGGACCAAATAATCCTGTTCAAGCTGCACCAAAAAGCCCTGATGACATGAGAAAGGTATTCATTGACCGGGCCAAGAAGATAGACACGATATCCAGAGCTTGCTTCCCATTAGCCTTCCTGATTTTCAATATTTTTTATTGGGTAATTTACAAAATCATCAGGCATGAGGACATTCACCAATAACAAGATTAAGGCTTGCAATACATACAGCTCTGCCTGCTATGTTCAACAGGATGTTTTCTGTTAGAAATGCACAACAGAAGAGTTGAAAAGAAGAATAGCACCCAGAGAAGATACACCTGCTATTGCAAACTTTCTGTGTCAAACTAAGTATCAACTCTTTTTTGTTGTTAATCACTCTCTACTGAAGCTTTACTGCCAAGTGTTTATACATACCGTTACATAGTGGTATAATGGTACAGTACTATTTGATGTTCTTAGATTTTTTTTAATTCTGGTATATTTTTAATTTTAAAAATGGATTCAGAATACCCTAGGTAAATCCCACTGTATTACAGAATAGATTAGCATTTGAAACCTTTAATTTACTTTAGAAGATAATGAAAAATTACTGATTTGAGAGTACAGTTTTAGGGACATTTTCTTGTCTTAAGGATAGTACCTGTGGTTTTGCAATGAGTATATTTGACAGATTTAAGTTATGTAGTTTATTCAATGAACTTCATATTACTGTTGCCCTGGAAGGTGCATGTTAAAATCATCTCAAACAGGACAAGATATCTACAGCCTAATAACCAGCATACTACATGATAAATATATCTAAATTTATGAAGTATTTATTTCCGCAAAGGACTTTTCTCCTTTTAATTGTCTGCACTTTGATAATTGAAACCTATAATATTTTTTAATCCTTTTTATATTTTTGAAGGCTTTTTTTCTCAATTGATAAAACCCATAAGCTTTTGAGATAGGCAAAATACATTGAAAATTTGCAATGCTTCATTCTGATTCAACACAAAGATATCTTGTACCAAAACTAAAAGCCAGTAGTCAACTGCTTAGCTGAAATATTTGGAGGAAAACTATAGCTGTGTGAATACACATTTATCTCCTACATGTTACATAAATACAGGAATTTTAGTTTAGGAATATATCAAGCTTTCTTTCTCATTTTTGAAGCATATTGATATGACTTAGGTACTGGTTAAGAAGCACTTCATAATAGTGGAAAAAAATGCATTTCTAAAGCATAAAAAAGGATCTGTGTGGCCTTTTACATTTATTTTACTTCACATAAATAAACAACTATTAAAACCCTGGGTAAGATTTTTCCTGTTTAGGATTAAACAAGTCATATTAGTTTCTTTTTTGAATTGTAACACAGATCACGTTTATGGCTTACTTTGTACTTTGTAGGCAAGAGAGTTTACTTTTGCCGATCTTGCCTATTGCAAAACAGAAACATGCTAATATACAGCAATATGACATTTAGAACTACAAGGTACTCTAAGTCCAGTACCTGAGGCTGTTTCTGATTAGAATTTTTTTTTTTTATATGGTTTAAATTTTTGGTTTGTTGTTGCTCAGAATGTATATACAAAAGCAAAATCAGCTGGAGGCAAACATCTGGTGCACTGCCAAAGCCGTGGTGCATACGAAGCAATAGAAGCAATGTGATTCTGCACTGAGGATTATAACATAGCAACCTTGGGTTTGGTTTGGTTCGCTATTCTTTTCCTCCAAGGATTAGTTAGAGAGATTTTAAAAGAGTAGCCATCAGATTTTGCTCAGCTGTGTCAGAAAGAATCTCTGTAAAACTTCTTCATTTTAAAACTTCATTATTTTTTATAGTTTTACCCCAGTTATGATCTGAACTTAATTCAATTAACTTTAAACAATTATTGTTTGCTGAGGCTGTCTCTTGGTTTTGTTGCTCTCTTCATGTGCACATTCCAAAATACATTGTTCGCTTATGAAGGTGTGTGAGGGGTATCATGAACTAATGACTGACATTTCAGTTGGGTTATATTCACTCTCACAAAGTTATCTTCTGCTGTATTTCATTAAAAGGGATGTCAATTTAATTCTGCTGTCAGCAAAGTCAACAGTATTTTATTTAAGGACTGGCTGAAGTACTGGATCCATAATCAAGAGGAAATCATAAAAAATTACATTATCTTGCAGGCTCATCTTTCTTCTAAAATACATGACTTGCACTCAATAAAGAATGCTTGAGTGGGCAAATGCATAAAAAAAATGCTGACCAGATCAGAATAACTCCTAGTTATTCTAATTTATAACACTTGATTACCAGCTTCATGTTGCCTCTTTCCCAATCATTCAATCGTCTATTGCTCTCACACATGTAGTACTACCTTATTTCAAAAACTAACAAATTTGAGTAATGCAGAGCTAAACAAACATAGGGTTAATTTCTTTCTTCACTCTTTAAGGCAGAAAAGGTCTACACTCTTTAACAGAGAAATCAGACAGGAAATCTTGAAAGTGATAAAGAATTACAAAACTAGCAAAATATAATGGAGTCAGAAGGAATGTAAACTACCAAACAAGAAGGACAAGATCCTTCATTCATATATGAACATATTACCTCAGTGAGGAGGAAGAACCCTGTATCACATTTCTCTTTGACTAGAGCATGCTAATCTAAGGAAAAATTACAGCATATACATAAAATAAAATGCGTAAATTTTCATTATAATTATTTTCTGACCTTCCTAATGGATTGTTATGTATATATTCTATTTAAAATAAGTGAGATCTGTAGATTTAATTACTGGACCTAGTGCCTAATGTTGTCCCTCAGGATGCATCTCTTCAAGCATGCACTATGGTAAGAGTGTCTTAGACCTGGCCTATGGAAGGTATATGCCTTCCTCAATGGAGTTGTATTTCTCTTACATGGCAAGTTGAGCATACCTTAGTTCTATAACTAAAAATTTACATATGATGCTCAGTTTTCTAACAGGAAATATTGAAAATAATACGTTTAAAACATCATTATGAAAACTCTACAGTGTTGATGGAACATTTTTTTATTTAGCCATCCATTAATAACAGAAGTATTTCAAACAGAGGGGAAGAGCAAAAAGTAGTTCCATGATGCTGTTTTCAAATGCAGGTAACATTTTCTATGTCACTCTGTTGCACTCAGATAAATAAAGATTTGCTATTTTGATGTAATAGAACCATAATCTCTCCTGAACTGCTAAATTTGGGTATTTTTACTGGAACCATAACATTTGTCAACATAACATAAGCCTCTGCAGTTCACTAAGCAATGTGTTTTTCAAAAGAAAGAAGAACTTAACTTTTAAATTTCATTTAGATTATTCCTAAATGACTTAGTGTAAAAACACATGGTAAAGAAAGATATAGATGTTATTATTTGAGATAGATAATAAGAGACTTCAGGGCATAAATGCCTGCTACTCACCACTAAAGGAAATGTGCAAAAATGCCAGCAGGCATGCCAGCCCTCTGTACAAAGCTAGAATAGCTATTGTCATCAGCTAAGATTAGTGTGGGAAATGATTCTTTTGTAAATGTATAATTAAATAGCAGGAAATAGCATTAAGAAGAATCAAGAATTGAAAGATACTCTGCAGTATTTATCAGACTGCAGTATTAATGCTTCGGTCCTGTGAAAGAGGCAGTGGAGAGGCAGAATCATCAGGGAGATAATGCTTGATACAGATGGTACATTGCAGTTCTGCTCCTACATCTAAAAGGACCTGAAAGGCTGAAGTAGACCGCTACCTCACTTCACTAGCACTGAACCTGGGCTCTGCAGGGTACAGGTCCTCAGCAAAGCCACATAAGAAGGCTTCTTGTAAGCACAACCTCTATGTGATAGGCCAATTCTACTTTGTCACAGGTCACTATTCACCCTAGGTGCAGATTCTGTGCTGGCCACATCATGTTTTTCTGGTCTTTGTAGTCCAGTCCTATATAAGTAAAATACTATCATTAGAAGATCATTGCAATGCAAGGAAAACAGAGGGAGAAATTGGAGGATCTGGAGGAAAGCTCCAGCTATCAAACAGGTGTCAGTCACCACAAAAGGGGAAAGAAGGAAGCATAAGATATCCTTGCTACTTTTCCCCATTCCCCAGTATCCTCTCCATAGATACAGTTGTTCATTTGGAAGCAATAGCTGCAGGGGGAAACCATTTATGTCAACTGCTGCCAAGTTTCTACCTGCATGGATAGGGAATTGAATTCCACACCATCTGCTTTCTTAATGGAAAGAGAAGTGCAGCAGGAAGGTACAGGATGAAAAGCATGGGTTGTACATAGCATAAAAGGGACCACAGAGAGAGCGAAAGCCCAAAGCAGTGCCTGGAACCTTTCATATGACTGTCTGTTCTTCCTGCACTAAAAGGAGAGACACGGCCAAATACACGTCACCTCTTGCACAGCCAAAATCTTCAGGACCTTGAGAAAGATAGATACACTCAACTACCACACTACCAAACTCCAGCTTAAATTCTGAATAGCAAAATACATTTTATTTTTAAAACCATCAACAAAATAGGCTTGCATGGTTAGAGGGATGACTTATTTTTCTATAATGATAATAAATTTGAGGAAGCTTGAAAGAGAAAGTGCATGCTACTGTAGATTTACCTATTTTAACACCAAAGTAAAGCACATTCTGCTTTCAAAGATTTTTGACAGCAAGCACTACTATTTAAACAGGTTAGAGGAATTCAGGAAGAATGTGGGAATTCTTTTTTCAAATCAATCATATATTAATTTTCATTAGATTCTCTTTATTAGAGTTTGTTCCAGAATCTTTGTGATGTGTGAGAGATGATTCTGTTTACTCACTAAAAAGACTTATAGTTAGGTGACTTAGTTGTGCACTTTACATGTGAGGAGTAAGGTATTGCTTCCATTTTGTACTATAACCCCTTATAGAATGGTAGGTTGATAATGTAGATAAAAATATAGTATAATGAACTGCATAAAACCCTATATTTTTAATAGTAGGGAAAGACAAAAAGTCTTCCTTAAGCTTAAAAAAAAGTATTATTTTTAGCAATAATTTTGTATTAAATGGAAATGAATTTATTTATACAGTTCCTAGCCCAAGCAGAGATGGTTGCAAAAGGTAGATATACTTTATGTGCAACTTCTGTTCTCATTTGAACTATCATAGGAACAAGTCTAATCCAACAGAGCAGAATTTGGCCTTAAACTGTGAAACTGCTGAATGAGCTATTAATTCATACAGTTCCCCTGTGAGGTAGTAAAATAACTTTATCCACATCTTACTGTAGAATGAAATGGTTATTCGGATGAGAACAATATCAGATCATTACAGACTTTTTTCTTTTTAAGACAACTAGGAAGAAAAACATAAATCACAGACCAAACTACTTCTTAATGATAAAATGGGTATTCTGTTTCAGAGTGGTTATGGAAAATGTGGCTTCAGGCCACATACATCTCCTACACTAGTTACTGAAATACTATCAGTTTGGAAGGCAGGTCAGATTGCTAGAAGCATTGGGTTAAATGCCAGAAGGATGTTGGCTCATCCAGTATTCTTGATATGCTTGAATATTACTGTACTTCTTCACTTTCATCTTTGTGAAATATGCAAGAAACATTTCTTATGTTTGTATTTTAATGTATGACAGAGTGATGTTAACAGATGAAATGGACTAAAGTAGTTACTGATGTTCCATGATATGTAATTGTGAGTTGTATAAAAAGAAATCGTGCCATAAACTTTTGACATAAAGGTTTAACATAATATGCAGTACTTTGTGTGTTAGTGATTCTGGCTTTTTAAAGGCTGCATCAAGAAAAAAGAA